ACCTGACCCGCTAGGCGTAGTGAATTGTAGTCTTGCGTTACTCTCTGAGGCTGCCAGAACGAAACCGCATTGAGCGGTGCATACATCGTCCCGTAGAATCGCTTCTCGAGAAGCCTCTCGTAAAAGTTGATTGCAATCCGTGACTCTTAGCGAAGCGCATTGCGTCTGAAAACAGAGACTTCTTTTTAAGTTCTACATTTCATTAGCAATTTGTTCATCTTATAACATAGTTTATAACATTTAGCAGTTTATAGAGGAGATTGAAAAAATATAAACTAAGAAAACAAAATTTACTTGATTTACATTTACAATAAGAAAGTTTGAACTTTTTAGTATGTTTCTTTTCATTCAGAGAGTATACTTACGCCTTCATTGGTGCAAACACAACTAGTGCAAGGCGTAGGGAAACCAGACTCTCCGACCGCGACGTTTCTTCCACCGATTTGACAGCCATGTCTGGTCTCTCGCCAGGCAGAGAAGTCCATATGGGGCATGGAGCTGCACGGTACGCGTGGATTTAAGAAATTACTGGGTAAATCAAATGCCGCTCTTTGCATGTCCATCTGGACATCCATGTTCTCACACATCACCTTGGACAGAGTAGTTTTGCGAACCTCTGCCAATTGGTGCTCAGTAAAGCGAATGTTCGGATCATCGGTCTCATACCAGAAACGATCGCACTTTCTGGACTGTCTGAACTGAATAGCGATGATACAGGCGAAAGTGGGTCCGACCAAACCACCTTGAAGTGGTCGTTCGCTCATACCACCCGGGAAGAGGTCGATGTCATCCACGGAGGCATATATACGCTTCATACGAGCTATCACTTCCGGCGCCATTTCTCTGGACAAATCCTCAAATGTGGTGGCTTTCTTCAAATTACAGAGCGCTCTGTAATGATTGTATGATGGTATTCCGTGATCGCGGGCTCGGTGAACATTTAGAGCTATCAAATCCACGCCGGAGTGCGGAATACCGCGTTGCTCGAATAGATGATTGGTCACTTCGCCGGTGATGAACTGATCCAATGTCTCCATCGGCGTAGTTACTAGGCCACGTATCATCTCGTCGATCATATGCTCCTGATAGAGCATATCCGGATTGAAAAATCCGTCACGTAGTAAGATGGGAGGATCGATATTCTGATAGTTCCGATCCATGCGTGGTAAATGCGGTCGCAGTAAAGAATGGCCAATTCGGTATGCCGCGGCAGCGAACTCATTGAGCACGCTAGGGTTGCAAGTGGGCGAATATTCCTTGTAGTAGCCTTGGGGCAACAGCTTAAGACCATACAAGCTAACGGCGTTCCAGCCAAGAATTCTCGGCAGAAACTCGTTGTATGTGATATGTTGCAGCATCGCACTAATGATGCGTCGTGTCTCCTGGAAGAGCTTCTCGCCGTCCCAGTGGGGATTTACCTAATCAAGAAGTTTTATATCAATGAATAAATTGACATTATTTTTACTCAATTATTACTCAAGATGTTTGCCGGCAGATTACGGCAGATTCAAACAATACATTCTTTATAAGGTGTACACAACATATTCTTAAAATGTTATATAATTATTAAAAAGGATAAATAATATTCATATGACGTTCTAGGAATATGGTATTATAAGATTCTGAAATATATGACAATGTAGAAGAGTTTTCTCAATCCAATATTTTTAAATAAAAAGAGGAGATTTACCTGTCGTAAGCCTTCCATTACGCGATTGTGTTCGCGTATCCACATGGTGTGCATGACTGCCAGCGCTGGTTGCTCCGAAGCGCGGCCATCACCACCGATGAAGCACAATCCTGATGGCGCCTTGCATTCTGGATGCGTCGCCGATTGCGGTAACAAATCCCTACCGCGTCTTGGGTTCGTTGTGATGTTCATGCGACCGTTGAAACCGCGCAGGATATTACAGATGCACGAATTCTCGCCATAGACTACCGACGCATCCAAGAAACCGGTATTCTGATTCACTTGTTCGCGTGGACCCAAATGCTGCTGGCCTGGCAATGACCTCATCGACGGGAAGCACATACGCGAGCCTGACGAGACATTCACAGTGGGATAGAAGTGATCACCCGGTGGCACGGGAAACGGATTGCATTCGGGATGAACAGTGTGTGGTGAGTCGCACGGCCGACAACTGGGAATCGACTCTTGAAAGCCTTTGTGTATAGGAGTCATCGTCAAGTCGTGATCTAGAAATTGGGCGAACTGCATCACCATCAGTGTATAACGGTTGTGCAAATTCGATATGTCAGGGTGGATCACAGTGGAGACTACCCGAGGATTTGGCAAAGGTGCACCAGTGACGGAAGTCATTCTCGGTTTGGAAACACCGTCCTCATAAACAGGTGGCAATAGACGGGCGAAGGTTGTCAATGACTTGCCAAGGTTGGGATTACGTAGATTGTTGCAATGGCCTGATAAGGTTCGATAAGGTGTAGTTGGATCGCATGGAGAATTATCTACGGGACATTCGACTTCTTCATGTTGCGTCGCCTTTTGATTATGATTCAAGAAGCCGGAGATATCGACGTTCTGCAGCAGATCGGAGAACTCGTTCGAGTTAGGGAATCCTAGAACGTTCTCCGTATTCTCAAAAACCTGACGTCTCCTTCGTCGGAGACCGTGTACACCATTTAGAATCTCGTTTGTAGCCAATTCGTACATGATGGATGAATTGGCGAGCAACAGAGCATCCTTGTTAGCTTTCGAGAAGCTAGCTGCGGTGCCGGCAGCCGATTTAGGGTCAGCAACCCTCTGTTCTAGCCAAGCATTATACTCCAACTGCTTTCGCTCAATTAGCTCTTCCTCTGCTCTCTTTACCGCAGCGGCAAGCACCTCGGGACTGATCTCCGATAGAAGCTGCGTCGACTCATCACCCGTGCTCGTGTTTACCAAGTTATACTGCATCATAGGAAGCGGCAGCGGTTTCTCGGTCCATGCCGCGACAT